ACCATGGGGCTTGAACTCTGGGCCTGGGCGCTGTCCCTCAGCTCTTCAGCTCAGGCTGGCGCTCTACCCCTTGAGCCACAGCGCCACTTCCAGTTTTCTGGTGGTTCGTAGGAGATCAGAGTCTCACGGACTTTCCTGCCCAGACTGGCTTTGAACCACGATCCTCAGATCTCAGCCTCCTGAGTCGCTGGGATGACAGGCGGGAGCCACCGGCGCCCAGCTTCCATTTTCTCTGTTAAACCAATCACTTCCCTCCTGTTCAATTTAATACCGCAGGCGAATCTGGAAGAGGAAGCCAGTCAGCTGCGTGCTGAGCTCAGCCGTCTTGCCACAGGAAGTACGTTAGTGGAACAAGGTGAGGCTTCAAAGCTAGCGAGATCCTAGACAAGGCCCAGGTGCCTGCAGCTCCCGCCTGTCACCCCAGCTGCTCAGGAGGCTGAGATCTGAGGATCCCGGTTCAAAGCTAGCCCATGCAGGAAAGTCCGTGAGACTCTTTATCTCCCATGGACCACCAGAAAACCAGAAATGGCGCTGTGGCTCAAGGTGGTAGAGCGCTAGCCTTGAGCAAAAGAAGCTCAGGGACAGCGTGTAGGCCCTGAGTTCAAGTCCCCAGGATTGACCTTCCTTCCCCCTCAATAATAATAATAACCTAGACAAGAATTTTGGGCTCCACCCAGCACCTGGTGCTCAGACCTGTAAAATCCTAGCTACTGGGGAGGCTGAGATCTGAGGATCAAGGTTCAAAGCCAGTCTGGCCAAGGAAAGTTCATCATACTCTTACCTCCAGTTAACCACCAGGAAGTAGAGCTATGGCTCAAGTGGTAGAGCACCAGCTTTGAGAAAAGAAAAAAAAAAAACAAAACAAGCTGAGGGACCGGGCTGGGCAGGTGGCTCAGTGGTACAGTGCTCACCAAGCGTCTGTGAAGTCCTGGGGTTGGATTCCTCAGTGCCACCTACACAGAAAAACCTGGAAGTGGGGCTGTGGCTCAAGTGGTAGAGCGCTAGCCTGGAATGAAAAAGCTCAGGGACGGGGCCCCGGGGCCCTGAGTTCAAGCCCCACCACTGACCACACAAAAGATCATGGCGTTGGGGGCAGTAGACCAACGGGTTAGCGAGGTGGGGAGGACTCCTTGCTCACTAGGGGTGTAGGCCAGTGTCGCGATCACACCCCATCAGGAAGAGGTGGGGGAGCCCCGCAAGCGTGGCCTGGTCTCCCCCTTGACTGCTCTCCCTGACCCCCCCTCCCCACAGGCCTGTGTACGTGTCTGCCGGCGGGCGGCTCCAGTCCCAGGGGGACCCTCTCCTGCCCAGCCCGATCCCCCTGGCTGCCACCCGGGGCTGGCCCTGTCCCAACCCTGTGCCTCATTACCAGCAGAAAAAGACAAAACTGGCCTACCAGCCCAGCCCCATGCTGAGCCAGGACCTCCTGAAGAAGTACCAGAGCCTGCTCCTGGGCCGGGTGGCCATGCCCCTCTACCAAGGGTCCACCGCGCGATGGCCCCCGGGCTCGGGGAAGGCGACACGGAGAAAAGCGGAGCATGCTGTGGATCAGGCCGGGGCAGCAGCTGGGGGCGCTCACGGGAATGACGACAGAGCCCCCGACAGTCCTGGAGCCTCGGATGAGAAACGAACCTTGGGTGGCACTGGAGACTCCCGTGGTACTGGAGCCTCCCATGGTACTAGAGCCTCCCGTGGTACTAGAGCCTCCCGTGGTACTAGAGCCTCCCGTGGTACTAGAGCCTCCCGTGGTAGTGGAGCCTCCCGTGGTACTAGATCCTCCCGTGGTAGTGGAGCCTCAGATGGCACTGGAGCCTCGGACGTTACTGAAGCCATCAATGATGGTGCTGGAGTCTCTGATAATGCTGGAGCCTTGGATGATGGTGCTGGAGCCCTGGATGGTGCTGGAGCCTTGGATGATGGCTCTGGAGCCCCAGATGGCGCTGGAGCCTTGGATGATGGCTCTGGAGCCTCGTATGGCGCTGGAGCCTTGGATGATGGCTCTGGAGCCTCAGGTGGCGCTGGAGCCTTGGGTGATGGCGCTGGAGCCTCGGATGAGGCTGGAGCCTTGGAGGATGGCGCTGGAGTCTCGGATGGTGCTGGAGCCTTGGGTGATGGCGCTGGAGTCTCGGATAGCGCTGAAGCCTTGGATGGTGCTGGAGCCTTGGATGGCGCTGGAGCCTGGGACAGTACTGGAGCCTCAGATGATACTGGAGTCTCTACAGGTGGTACCGGAACCTCAAATGATACTGAAGCCTGGGAAGGTGCTGGAGCCTCGAATGAGAGCAGAGTGCTGCGTCCACCCAGCCCCCAGGCTCCAGAGCCCTGAGCCACGGCTCCTTCCACAGGATCCTCCACCCCGGGCCCCCATGGGGCTGAAGAGCCCCAGCTTCAGGCGAGCAGCCTCGGTGGGCCTCCCGGCCTCCAGCCATCTCTGTAGCCCTAACTCTTGGAGACGCTACCACAACTTTATTGTTCTGTGTCTTTCTTGGTGCACTCCGGGGAAGGTGGGGGGGGGGCCCAAGGCTGGGTGGAAGAAAGCAGAGGGAGCAGGAAGGGGTGAGGGGGCCCAGGGATGAGGAAACGGCGGGGGAGGGGGAGGTGTGCAGGAAAAGAGGCTGGAGGTTTTGCTCGAGGCCCTGAGTTCAAACCCTAGTATTGTTTAGAAAAAGAGGGGCTGGGAAGGTGACTCAGTGGTAGAGCACTTGCCTTGCATGCTCGAGGCCCTGGGTTCGATTCCTCAGCACCACATAAGCAAAAAGAAAAAAGCCGGAAGTGGCGCTGTGGCTCCAGTGGTAGAGCGCTAGCCTTGAGCTGAAGAGCTGAGGGACAGCGCCCAGGCCCAGAGTTCAGGCCCCATGACCAGATCCAAAAAAAACAAACAAAAATTCAACCTTAGCACGGGTGTCTGAGAATTCTGGACAGGAGAATTGTGCAAACAAGGTCTTTCATGTCTTGGGCAGATCTGACAGGGCCCAGGGGAGATGATGGCTGGAAATAGAACCAACTGCTGGCTCTGTTAACCCTCAGCTTGCTGCTGTGGGGGGGGGGGGGGAGGAAGGAGGGGGGGGAGGGGAGGGGAGAGCCCTTGGTTCAGCCCTGAATAGCTCAGTGTGAAGACCAGCCTGGGAATTTCCTTCTAAGTGGAGGCCTTGAGTGTGTGATTTCTCTGGGCCAGAGATGTTCTCATCCATCCCCCTCCCCCCAGCCTGCCAGCAGAGAAAGTCACTCAGATTTAGATGAGGTATAAAGAACTTCCTGGCAGGGCTGGGTGGCTCAACCTTCTCATCCTGGCTCGTGGGGAAGTGGAGATCAAGAGTTCAAGGCCAGCCCTGGCATAAAAGTTCAACCCATCTCCCTCTCCACCCCCTGCCCCTAACCCTATTTGGACCAATGGCTGCTTGGGTTGGCATGTACCCGGGGATACAGAGAAGCACAAATAGGCGGATCGCAGTCCAGGCAAGCCCAGAAATAAGTCACTACCTTGAAAATAACCAATAAAACAATGCCACTGGAGGCATGGCTAAAGATGGTAAAGCACCTGCCGAGCAGGTGTGAAGTCCTGAGTTCAAATCCCAACAGCACAGAAAAATACTGAGAGATAATGGGATCCATTATAGCAAGTCGGAGGAATACGCCCTGGAATCTGTTTAAAGTGGTACTGCCGAACTGAAATAGAATTTGGCCATATATGCAAATTAATCTTTGGTGCCAGGTGCCGGTGGCTCTCGCCTGTCATCCTAGCTGCTCAAGAGGCTGAGATCTGAGGATCTCAGTTCAAAGCCAGCCTGGGTAGGAAAGTCCGTGAGACTGATCTCCCATGAACCGCCAGAAAACCAGAAGTGGAGTTGGGGCTCAAAGTGGTAGAGAGTTGCCTTGAGCTGAAGAGCTGAGGGACAGCACCCAGGCCGGGAGTTCAAGCCCCACCACTGAGTGTTGTTGGGGCTGTTGGAGGCCCTGAATTCCACCCTAAGCACTTCATTAAAAAAAATAAAAATTAAAATGTTGCCACGTAACCAAGAGCAAAAAGAGGCAAGCGGAATTAATTATGCAATATATTCTATTTTAATCCATCGGATCCCAAACTTTATCCACAGGCAATAACATAACTGACATTGAATAAGCATTGTTTTCAAAGTGTGTGCTTGGGTGGCTGTCTCTGAGCTCTTTTCTTCAAGGCTGGTGCCCTACCATTTGAGCCACAGCCCCACTTCTGGTTTTCTGGTGGTTTGTTGGGGATCATGGACTTTCCCACCCAGGCTGGCTTTGAACTGCGATCCTCAGATCTGAGCCTCCCGAGAAGCTGGGAAGACAGGTGTGAGCCACCAGACCTGCTGTTTTGGATCCTTTAACCTAAGTCAAAATGAGGGCCAGAGGGCTGGGAAGGTGGCTCCGCGGTGGAGTGTTTGCTTAGCGTACCTGAAGCCCTGGGTTTGATTCCTCCAAGATCTCAGCAGTCCGTATTACTAGAACATTCTCCTTTCTCCTCGCAGTCTGGGAGAAGACAGAGGACAGGGAGCAGGCAGAAGCGAGGCCAGGCCTCTGGTGGGCAACGGAAGACAGCGGGGTGGGGGGTGTTAGGACCCCCTCATGCTGATCCTGTGTCCCGATGAACCCCGAAACTGGCCGGCACCCCAAGACTTGCCTACAGAGGGGACACTTGAGCGTGGAGCAGACAGGTGGTCCCCCACGTCAGCCCCCCACAGAGGTGCGCTCTTCCGATTCCTGCCTGGTGCCATTGACCATCACACCCGCCCCCCGCCGCCGCCGCGCCCAGCACCCCAGAACCGGTTAGATGGTAGCGGGCAGCCAAAGGCCCGCAGGGCCCGCCTTCTCTGTCCCCCGGGGCTGGCCCCCCTCTTCCGCTGCCATCTCTGGAACTTTCCTCCGCCTCCCGCCCGGAGGAGAGCCAGGGACAGTCTGGGGACAGGGATCGGAGGCCGTGGTCGTGAGGACCGTCCCCCGTCCTGTCCAAGGCCCCCAACCCGCCCCACCCGGAGGGCATGAGCGCCTGGCGGGAGGCCCAGGGGGGCGACGGAGGCGCCGGCCCCCCGGGACGGGAGCCCCCCGGGACGGGGGACCCCGGGCAGCTGCTCCAGCAGCGGCGCCTCAAGCAAGCCACACGCTTCCTGCACAAGGACTCGGCCGACTTCCTCCCCCTGGACCCCCTCCGAAGGATGGGCACCTCCAAAGACCTGGTGAGGCTGCACCCCGACCCGCCCTGAGCCCTCGGGGAGGGGGGCCATGCCAGAGTTCCTCTGACACCCTGAGGCTTATCTGAGCACAGAACGGGGTGCAGGAGGCCCAGGAAACTTGAGGACCATCACTGCAGGCCAGGAAGTGGGGTGCGGGCTGGGGGGGGGGGCTGGAGGACGGGCCACTGTGAAGATGGAGACTTGGTACTCTTGCCAGGTCTCAAATGGTGGCTTTCCACGGCAAAGCGGCCCTCGGCCCTCGCCCCTCCCGCATGGAAAGTTCCATTCCTTCTAGCCCCCTGCTGCACCATGCGGGGTGGGAGAGGGTAAGGGGTCAGAGACTGGGACCCCCTAAGGCCTTTGCATCAGTTGGGGGACTGTCCTGAGATTTTGGGGGCTACCTTGCTTGCCACCTAATCTGAGCTCTCAAGCAAGTTGCTTTTGTCTCCCTCCCCCTCCTTCCTCTCCCCCCTTCCTTCCTTCCTTCCTTCCTTCCTTCTCTTCCTTCCTTCCTTCCTTCCTTCCTTCCTTCCTTCTCTTCCTTCCTTCCTTCCTTCCTTCTCTTCCTTCCTTCCTTCCTTCCTTCCTTCCTTCCTTCCTTCCTTCCTTCTCTTCCTTCCTTCCTTCCTTCCTTCCTTCCTTCCTTCCTTCCTTCCTTCTTTCCTTCCTTTCTCTTTCTGTGTGTTGGTACTGGGGCTTGAACTCAGGGCCTTGAGCTCTCCAATTGTGGATCTTGAATTCAGGGCCTGGGCGCTGGCCCTGAGCTCTTCAGCTCAAGGCGGGCGCTCTACCCCTTGAGCCACAGCACCACTTCTGGTTTTCTGGTGGTTCATGGGAGATCAGAGTCTCATGGACTTTTCCTGCCGGGGCTGGCTTTGGACCATGATCCTCCGATCTCAGCCTCCCGAGTCGCTGGGATGGCAGGCATGCGCACCGGCCCCTGGCTTAGCTGCAGTCTTTTGAAGAGCCGCTCTGGGCTTCGTGCCTGGCCTCCTAGGCACCCCCGGGACACCCCTGTCCCAGATACCCGGCTTTGAGAGCTGAGACACCGCAGACAGACCACCTCCGCGCCAAGGGTGCGGCCACCGTGGGAAAGAGGGGAGGAGGTGGGGACGCAGGGCCTGTCCTCCCCCCCCCCCCCCCGCTGGCCCAGAGTTCACGACCCTTTGCCCACAGCTGGCAGCTTGTTTCTGGGAGCAAGGCCAAGGGCATAGAAAGGAATCAAGGCTCCCAGCGGGAGAGGCCTGTGTGTGTGTGAGTGTGTGTGAGTGTGTGTGTGTGTATCCCAGAGCAGGCCAGCGCGGCACCAATCACACCTAAAATAAACACAAGTCATACAAGTCCCTGCCTCCGGGAGACGGGCTGAAGGGTCGTGGTTCAAAGCCAGCCCGGGCAGGAAAGTTTGTGGCTCTGATCTCCAATAAACCACCAGAAAACCGGAAGTGGCGCTGTGGCTCACGTGGTAGAGCGCCCGCCTTGAATGAAAAAAACTCAAGGACAGTGCCCAGGCCCATTCTCTCTCCCCCTCTCCCCTTTGTCCCCTCTCCCCCTCTCCTCCTCGCCCCCTCTCCCCCCCACCCCTTTTCCAAAGTACTGGGGTTTGAACTCAGCTACCTCTACTTTCGGCTTTTTGGTGGTTCATTAAAGACTTTCCTGCCTGGGCTGGCCTCACACTTTGATCCTCAGACCTCAGCCTCCTGAGTAGCTGGGATGACAGGCGTGCACCACCATGCTTGTCCAAGGGTGTGAGTTGAGCCTGGGGCGGGGGGAGGGGAGTTTGTCACTCTGCTCTACACCTCTGGCTTTGGGGACCCCTGGCTGGCAGCTGCTGAGGCCCAGGCCTGGGGGGCGGGGGCGGGGACGCTCTCCTGCATTCACCGCTCCCCCCCCTCCCCCCCCACTCCATTTTGCGAGGCAGCAGCCACACTGTGTGCTTCAGAGACGTCTGGTGGAGGGGCTCCAGAGCGCGCTTCCGGGGGCGTCCCCTCCGGGGCAGGCCATGACCGAGACCCAGGGCCAAGAAGCCAGCAAGAAGCCTGGAGGGACAGAGACGCCCGCCCTGCTGGTGAGCTGCACGGTGAGAGGCCTCCGGACACGCCGTTCATGGAGGGGCCTGCCTGAGCCGGCGCACCCCACCTGCTGGCCGGGGGTCCTGGGGGCGGGGGGGGGGCTCCTCCCTGACCTGGACCAGAGCTGGGGACTGGGCACTTTCCTCCCTGTCTCAACTGCCCATCACTCCACAACCCCCTGCCCGGGAGCGCTCGCCTGGCATGCATGAAGCTCTGGGTTCGATTCCTCAGCACCACAGACACAGAAAAAGCCGGAAGTGGTGCTGTGGCTCAAGTGGTAGAGCGCCAGCCTTGAGCCAAAGAAGCTCAGGGACAGCGCGCAGGCCCTGAGTTCACGCTCCAGGACTGGCACCAAAAAAAAAAAAAAGTATCACACAACATGCATGTACATTGCCATGTTACACACATGCACGCGCCTCTGGAAGGTGTGTGCATGTGTGAAATGCACTCCCCGGCTCGCCCTTCCCAAGGGGCCTGGAGCCCACGCTTCCTGAGCTCCACCCCCGGGTCCCCGCGGGCACTGGGCTGTTCTAGCACGAGAAACTACACGCCCCCCACCCAACAGCATGGGTAAAGGGCATTCACAGGAGACCCCATTTGTGAGTGTGAGCATGTGTGTGTGAGCGTGTGTGCGTGTGTGTGAGCATGTGAGTGTGTGTGAGCGTGTGTGTGTGTGAGCGTGTGCATGTGCATGTGTGCGCAGTCCCGGGGCTTGCACTCAGGGCCTGGTGCTGTCTCTGAGTCTCTTGCTCCAGGCTGATCGCCACCTGAGCCAGTTCCGCCACGGCTCCACGAGTGGCTGTGGCTGTTTCTTCTTGGTGGTTAAGTGAAGAGTCTCACGGCCCCCCCAGCTCCCCCCAGCTCCCCCACAGCTCCCCCACAGCAGCTCCCCCCAGCTCCCCCCAGCTCCCTGCCCAGCTCCCCCCCAGCTCCCCCACAGCAGCTCCCCCCAGCTCCCCCCAGCTCCCTGCCCAGCTCCCCCCAGCTCCCCCACAGCAGCTCCCCCCAGCTCCCCCCAGCTCCCCCCCACCCCCCCGCTCCCCCCAGCTCCCCCCAGCTCCCCCCCACCTCCCCGCTCCCCCCAGCTCCCCCCAGCTCCCCCCAGCTCCCCGCCCAGCTCCCCCCAGCTCCCCCCCCAGCTCCCCCCAGCTCCCCCCCCAGCTCCCCCCCAGCTCCCCCCAGCTCCCCCCAGCTCCCCCCCCCAGCTCCCCCCAGCTCCCCCCAGCTCCCCCCAGCTCCCTGCCCAGCTCCCCCCAGCTCCCCGCCCAGCTCCCCCCAGCTCCCCCCAGCTCCCCCCCCAGCTCCCCCACAGCAGCTCCCCCCAGCTCCCCCCCAGCTCCCCCCCTGCTCCCCCCAGCTCCCCCCCCAGCTCCCCCCAGCTCCCCCCAGCTCCCCCCAGCTCTCCCCCCAGCTCCCCCCCCAGCTCCCCCCCCCGCCCCGCTCCCCCCCAGCTCCCCCCAGCTCCCCCCCCAGCTCCCCCCAGCTCTCCCCCCAGCTCCCCCCCAGCTCCCCCCCCCACCCCCCCCCCCGCCCCGCTCCCCCCCAGCTCCCCCCAGCTCCCCCCAGCTCCCCCCCACCCCCCCAGCTCCCCGCAGCTCCCGCCCAGCTCCCGCCCTCCTCAGTGGCTGCGACTGAGGCTGAGTCTCATCAGCCACCTTTGAGAAAGCAAACGTGCTGTCCCCAGGCTCGCTGACCCCGCCCCTGTCCCCAGGCTCGCTGACCCCGCCCCTGTCCTGGGGGGGAGGGAGCTCGCTGACTCCACCCCTGTCCTGGGGAGGGGGGCTCGCTGACCCCGCCCCTGTCTTCTGGGGGGGGGGGCTCACTGACCCCGCCCCTGTCCTGGGGGGGGGCTCACTGACCCCGCCCCTGTCCTCTGGGGGGGATCGCTGACCCCGCCCCTGTCCTCTGGGGGGGATCGCTGACCCCGCCCCTGTCCTGGGGGGGATCGCTGACCCCGCCCCTGTCCTGGGGGGGATCGCTGACCACGCCCCTGTCCTGGGGGGGCTCGCTGACCCCGCCCCTGTCCTGGGGGGCTCGCTGACCCCGCCCCTGCCCTGGGGGGGATCGCTGACCCCGCCCCTGTCCTGGGGGGGCTCGCTGACCCCGCCCCTGTCCTGGGGGGCTCGCTGACCCCGCCCCTGTCCTGGGGGGCTCGCTGACCCCGCCCCTGTCCTGGGGGGGCTCGCTGACCACGCCCCCTCCTCAGGGACCGTTCGCATCCCAGCCCTATCCTGCGAGGCGCGGGTGGTGGGTGAATGTGCGTCCGCAAGGCTGGCGGGGCCGGAGCCCGGGCAGGGGAACCCCCGGACCCCGGGGCACCCCATTTCCCACCCCATCAGCACCACCCGCGGCCTCTCCCCGCACCGGCTCCTGGATGGGGAGGGGCCTGGAGGGATGGGGCGGGGCCTGGAGGATGGGGCGGGGCCTGGAGGATGGGGCGGGGCCGGGAGGATGGGGCGGGGCCGGGAGGATAGGGCGGGGCCTGGAGGGATGGGGCAGGGCCGGGAGGATGGGGCGGGGCCTGGGAGGATGGGGCGGGGCCTGGAGGATGGGGCGGGGCCGGGAGGATGGGGCGGGGCCTGGAGGGGGCGGGGCCGGGCTGCGGGGGCGGGGCCGGGAGGGCGCTGGGGGCGGCGGGGTGGGGGCCACCGGGCCGCAGCCTGTTTCCCCACCGTTCCGCAGACATGGAGCGCCCCGAGTTGAGCCTGGGGCTGCGAACCCTGCTTCCCCTCAAGGTGAGGAGCGGGGCCGGGGCGGGCTGGGGGCCGGGGCGGGCTGGGGGTCCGGGGCGGGCTGGGGGCCGGGGCCGGGGCGGGCTGGGGGGCCGGAGCCGGGGCGGGCTGGGGGTCCGGGGCGGGCTGGGGGGCCGGGGCCGGGACGGGCTGGGGGTCCGGGGCGGGCTGGGGGCCGGGGCCGGGGCGGGCTGGGGGGCCGGAGCCGGGGCGGGCTGGGGGTCCGGGGCGGGCTGGGGGTCCGGGGCGGGCTGGGGGGCCGGGGCCGGGACGGGCTGGGGGTCCGGGGCGGGCTGGGGGGCCGGGGCCGGGACGGGCTGGGGATCCGGGGCGGGCTGGGGGTCCGGGGCGGGCTGGGGGTCCGGGGCGGGCTGGGGGGCCGGGGCGGGCTGGGGGTCCGGGGCCGGGGCGGGCTGGGGGTCCGGGGCCGGGGCGGGCTGGGGGGCCGGGGCGGGCTGGGGGTCCGGGGCCGGGGCGGGCTGGGGGTCCGGGGCGGGCTGGGGGGCCGGGGCCGGGGCGGGCTGGGGGTCCGGGGCCGGGGCTGGCTGGGGGTCCGGGGCCGGGGTCCGGGGCGCCGCTGACGGCGCGTCCCCGCCCCCACCGCAGTGCTGCACTGACCTGGAGCGCGGGGTGCTGCGGGGCGCCCCCTCGCTCCCTCCACGGAGCTGCCCTTCCGACCAAGAGCCACGACCACCCCTGACCGGCCTGGGACCCCCCACGCCCCCCTCCTCCCCACAACGGCCCCTGACCGGCCTGGGACCCTCCCCCCGCCCTCCTCCCCAGGATCGCCCCTGACCGGCCTGGAACCCCCGCCCCCGCCTCCTCACAACGGCCCCTGACCGGCCTGGAACCCCGGCTCTCCCCCTCCTCCCAGGATGCTGTGTATGCTGCACCCTGCACAGGACCTCTGCTCCTTTGCCATCTCTCCTGCTGCTTCTGACAGACAGCCGCCCCCCTCGGGGCCCAAAGCAGGCCTCCCACCGCCTCTCCACCGAATAAACGCCTGCTTCTCTAGGCGGGACTGGTCTCTGGTCCTCCCCACTCCTCTGCTGGGTGGGCTGCGTGGGTACTTGCCACATGAAGGGGTCAATGCAGGCAGTTGCCCCTCGTTCTACCCTGGGCTTGCTCCACCGCGCCCCCCCCCCCCCCCAGTCCCTGTGCTCAGGGCGAAGAGGAAGCCGGTGGGCACTTCTCCAGGCTGACCTACCTGGCCAGGGGCAGCATGGTGGACACGGCTAGGATAGGGTGATACCAGGGGGGCAGCGCTACCTGACACTTCGTTCTTTCCACTTTTTATTTCAAAACTCCTGGCTCCAACCCGCCAGCTAGAGCTCTGGGTGCCCAGGCTGACAGCGAGCTGAGCGGGGGCAGCAGGGGTGGGTGGCCAGGACTTGGCTGTGGGGTGATCCGGACCTCAGGCCTGCACTGTCTAGCTTGCACTAGACCCGGCTCCTCATCTTGTCATCTCGGGGGCAGGCGAGTGAGCGGGACACGGAGCGAGGCGGTGGCAGGGCTGGGGCGTGGCTCAGGCCCCAGTGGAGGGATGGGGAGAAGCCATGCCAGACACCAGGGGCTCCCGTGTCAGCCTCGCTACTCAGGAGCCGGAGAGCTGAGGATAGAGGTTTGAAGCCAGCCTGGGCAGGAAAGTCCATAACTCTGGTTTCCAATGGACTAGCAAAAAGCCAGAAGCGGAGCTGTGGCTCAAGTGGTAGAGCATCAGCCTTGAGCATAAAAGCTCAGGGCCAGCTCTGAGTTCAAGCCTCAAGGTTGGCATCAAAAACAAACAGAAAAGTCCTGAGGAGCAACTGGACAAACTGCCCCGAGGCTGGTCGGGGCACAGGGAGGATGAGACTGTAAATGTCCTGAAAGATGCCGGAGCCAGAGCCCCGCGTCTCCACCCCTGCAAGGGTTACTGGTGCCAGGACCGGAAGCCAAGCTCTGGAGGGCGGTGCTAAGTGTGCCCTTTGCTGTCTCTGCTGTCACCCTGGGTCTGAAGCCCCGCCCCCTCCCAGCGTGGGGCTGGGCCAGGCGAAAGACCTGTGGCCTGCTGGCTCACATAGGGAGGGGGGCGGGGCTCGTGGTCACGTGGTGGGCGGGGCCCTGCCACCAGCTCATTCCCGCACCCCCGCCATGTCCACCTCCATCCTGCCAGGGCTGGCAAGGACTTGGGGTAGGATGGGCGGCGGGCTCGCTGAGCCCGGCTAGGTGGCGTCCTGGGGGCCGGTCGGGGCGCAGGGCAGAGGCTGGTCCGGGTGGTAGAGTGTCCGGTGGAGCAGGCTGCGGACTGCAGGGAGGTCATCGGGATCTGAGGGCCAACGGGGTTGGTAAGAGGTGTTTGGAGCCCCCGGCGGCTGGCCAGGCTGTGGGGAGGGGGTGGGACTCACCCACGTCCAGCTCCCGCAGCAGGCTGCGGTACTCGGGCTCGGCCTCGAGCAGCTTGAGCAGGCTGGTGGACTCCATGCGCTCCAGCCGCACCTCCCAGTACACGTAGATCTTCTGGTTGAAGGTGACGTACACCAGGCAGGGGCTGTTGCCACCCTCTTTGCAGGCGTACAGGCCTGGGGGAGGGGAGGACCACAAAGGGCAAGCGTCACCCGCTGGTGGAAGGGCAAGGGGACAGACCACCCAGGACAGACAGACAGACAGACAGACAGACCACCGCCACAGCCAGGGGTCTGAGCCTCCCACGGAGGCCGGGTAGCCAACCAAAGCAGAGAAATGCCAAAATACCCAGCTCATGCCCGACATGGGGAAGCCACGGGAAACACTAGCTAGAACAGCGCCCAGATGAACGCCACTGGCTCCCGCCTGTCATCCCAGCGACTCAGGAGGCTGAGATCTGAGGATCGCGGTTCTAAGTCAGCCTGGGCAGGAAAGTCCGTGAAACTCTGATCTCCCATGAACCACCAGAAAACCGGAAGTGGAGTTGTGGCTCAAGTGGTAGAGCGCTCGCCTTGAGCTGAAGAGCTGAGGGACAGCGCCCAGGCCCTGAGTTCAAGCCTCATGACCGATTCGTACCCGCCCCCCCCCCCCCCCCAAAAAAAAAGGAATTCATCCCTCCTTTTGTTCTGGTAGCAGGATTTGAACCCAGGGCTCTGTGCTTGCTAGGCAAGCCATCTCCCGCCTGAGCCATCTCCCCTGTCCCTGTTCAAGTGTTTCCTTCTCTCGTTGGAAAGGACGGGGTGGCAGGGCAGGAGAGAGGGCCGGGTCGCTCCGCACCTGCACAGAAGGCCCGGACATTCTCGTCGACTTGGAAGCGGACGACAGCGCGGTTGTGGTCGATGATGTACGTCTGTCCGTCCCACGCACACGCCACCACCTCCTCACACCCATTGCCCTGCAAAAGTCAGGGGAAAGCATGCAAAGCAGCGTGAGCTGACCTGACGGGCGTGCCTGGCGAAACAGCACTGGCACGAGGTTTCCAAGTTCTAGGCCAGCACGGGCTAGAGTGCAAAATTCTATCTCAGAGATACATAGCCAGGCGCTGGTGGCTCACGCCTGTCATCCTAGCTGCTCGGCTGAGGATCGCGGTTCAAAGCCAGCTCGGGCAGGAAAGTCCGTGAGACTCTGATCTTCAATGAACCACCAGAAAACTGGAAGTGGCCCAAGTGGTAGAGCGCCAGCCTGGGTGCTGTCCCTCAGCTCTATCTACCCCTATCTATCTAAAAACAAAGACAACCACAAAACGATCTTGCAGAAGCAGTCTGTTGGCCACACTTGGCTAGAAGGGGACCAAGGCAGGGCCCAAGCCCCCTGAGGTAACTTCTTATCTCTGGAGCTGCTGCCCAGTTGGCAGGTATGATGGAGAGGGTTCCAGAAGCTTGGCGGAGAACAGATCAAGCTAAGCAGCATCATTCATTCAGAGGCCGGCTGGAAGTAGCCCCTCCCCCAGAGAAGACCAAGTGCTCGGGGCAGGGCTCCCCGGGCCCCGCTCACCGTGACATCCAGCTTCTCCAGGGCGAACAGCTGGTGATCCACCTGCACGGACCACAGCAGCTTGTCAGCCTCCTCCATCAGCTTCAGGGTTCCTGCAGGGAGAGGCAGGAGGGGTGTGTGTGTGGGGGGTCCAGGCCGGGGGCAGAGCCCACTGGCAGAGGGAGGGCGCAGCCCAGCCCAGCCCTGCTCACCGTCCAGCGTGCACAGGGCGAAGAGGCCAGAGCCACCGCGCTCGGGGTTGTGACCTGGCGGTGTGACAGAGCACAGGGACTTGTGAGCAGGCTGTGGTGGCGGGCTGGGGGCGGGAGCGGCAAGTGGCCAGCCCCTCCCGGCGCTCACCCTGCTTGATGTTGCCGATGAGGTGCGTGGACACGTTCTTGTTGTGGATCCGGCCGGACGTCTGGTGGGTCTCCACGTCCCGGGGAGCGGGGGTGTCCCTGGGGGTGGAAGGGGGTGGGTTGATGAGCCGGCCTCCGGGCGGGGTCTCCCCGCCCCCGCCCCGGCCGCACGCCTGGCCTTACCTGCTGCCCTCCGCGGCGCCCTCGGAGGTGGGGGGCACCCCTGAGTCCCGGCGCCAGGTGCAGAGCAGAACCGCGTAGGCACAGCCCGGCTGGGACACCATTAGCTCCGGCACACCCAGGGGCCCCACGGTCACAGACAGACTGTCCACCTGCCCCGGGGAGCAGCACCCCCCCCATTGGGTTCAGAGCTGGAGGGAGGTACTAGGGTTCGGGCTGACCAGCAACGCCACGCAGATGATCAGCATCTGCTGGGGGGTGGGGGGCAGCAGGGACCCCCCCCAGCCTGACCCACGCCCTGCTGCTCCTGCCACCAGACCTCCACCTGCACCCTCCCGGGAGTGAGCCCCGCACTGGGGTCCCCAGACTCCACCTCTCACCTGGCCTTCCAGCATCCACTTCTTGAGGGACACCAGCTGGCCGGTCGGGTGCTCGCTGCCCTCGGCCAGCTCCTCCCAGCGGAAGGCCCGCACCACGCGGTCCGTGTACCCCACCACGAGCTCGCAGCGTCCATCCCCATCTGCGGGCATGGGATCCGACCCACCTCGGTGGGCGTGGAGCCCCCCACGCGGCCCCCCTCCCCCAGGCCTCCCCTCTGCGGCCTCCCCAACGGCGTCATGGCCACCTCCATGCCGGCAGCCGCTGCCCCCGCCCGGGCCTTGTGCTCACCTCGCGCTCAGTTTATGTATTTTATGCTTTTCCAGTATGGAGATTGAGCCTAGAGCTCTGCTGCTGAGCTATACCCCTTGCCACACTAGTTAGCTTCACTATAAAATTTATACTGCTTCGTCCTTTTGCTAAGGTCACGACTGTATTGTAAACAAAGCTACGCCAGGCACCCGTAGCTCACACCTGTCATCCCAGCGACTCAGGAGGCTGAGATCTGAGGACTGTAGTTCAAAGCCAGCTTGGGCAGAAAAGTCCCTGAGACTCTCATCTCCCAGAAACCACCAGAAAACCGGAAGTGGTGCTGTGGCTCTAGTGGTAGAGCGCCTGCCTTGAGCTGAAGAGCTGAGGGACAGCGCCCAGGCCCAGAGTTCAAGACCCACAAGTGACACAAAAATTAAAAATTAAGCTGGGCATGATGGTGCACCCAGGATCCTGCAGCAGAGGGGTGCAAGTTTGGGGGCCGCCCGGGCTGCATAGCAAGCTCCATCTGTTTTACTCCTGGCTGTGATGCCAGTGCCCACAACCGTGCCTGGCAGGCGGGGAGCTCAGCAGCTCTGCGCCGAACACAC